CTCATCAAAAGTGATATTTCCACTGTGTTTAATGTTTTTCTGCTTCTTTCTGTCTCTTGGTGGCTCCTTGAGGGCTTTGATGATCAGGGCAGAGGCAGAAGGCACCACCTCAGTCTGAGCCTGACAGTTTCACCGTAATCTGCAGGCCCTTCCAGTCACCAGTTGCCTTGGCAATGTCATCCCCCACTTTTTTTGGAGACAGACCCAAGGGACCAATCTTGGGGCCCAGGGCAGACATGGCGCCAACTTCACCACCGGTGCACCTCAGGTACACGACTTTGATCTCATTGTGGCATGCTGGAGGTGGCTGGTGTCAGATGAACTCAGATTCGGGACGACCGAAAAAAGTTGCACCTAGCCTCCTCCTAGCCGAAAGCCGAAAGTCATCCTAATCTTTGAAGGAGTGACTCATTAAGTTGTTCTACCAAAAAACCCAGGTAGAATTCCTAGTTTACTAGCAGAAAGAAAAAAAAGTACAGTAGGTTAATGCAGATCGTTTAGTCATCAGGAGCCAGTTTCTACCAAGCAACCTTTGGCTGTGGCCATGACCCCCCAGGGGTTCTCAGTTTCTGCTGGCCCACACAACCAGAGCTCTGTCTCCAGAAAGGAATCCAGAGGTTTCTCTCACCAACATTCCATAAGTCATTGGCTTCCCTGGGGATTCACCAAAGAACCTCTGGGGAACCTGTCCTCTGCTTCAAGGAGTGGCAGCAGCTCTAGGAGCATTACTAGCTGGCAGAGTAACCACTGTTTGTCCAAGTTCTATAAGGGATAGCTAAAACCTGAACAAGAATATCTAGTACTTTACAGTAAAGGTTTTAAAGTCTACAACTTATCTCTCACACACCTAAATGATGTCTATACCTCGGAGAAGAGGTTGGAAATCTTCCCTCACACTAAATATGTTTTGGTCCCATAGTGTGCTGCTTTTGGAGATAGCTCCTTCGGGTGTCACCAAAAAGTAGGTTCTCTCCATTGTGTCTCAGGTTTAGCCTCCCAAAGGAGACCTACCCAGAACACTAAGCCGGGACACGGCTTTTACATGTGTCCTCCTGGACAGGCATAGTTCCTCTTTGTCTCATCTGGTCCAGAGATGGGGTATGTGTCATTTTCAAAATGATGTCCCTGTCCTTGGGTTTAACAAATGCTTATTTTCTAAGGGTTTCACTTAGTTGGAACAGTCTATATCATTCTCCTTTTTTTTTCTTTTCTTTTCTTTTTTTTTTTTTGTGGAACCAGGGATTGAACTCAGGTCCTTGCACTTGCCAGGGAAGTGCTTATTCCACTGAGCCATCTCCCCAGCCCCTTTTTCTTTTCTTTTTTTTTTTTTGTGGAACCAGGGATTGAACTCAGGTCCTTGCACTTGCCAGGGAAGTGCTTATTCCACTGAGCCATCTCCCCAGCCCCTTTTTCTTTTCTTTTTTTTTTCTTTATATCATTCTCCTAATTTTACATGCCTCTAAAAAGGAAAGTACAAAGAGGTAGGAAAATTAGGAGTAAAGTCAAAGACAGGAAACTGAAACAGAGCAGGCCTGACATTTCCTCTAGCATGTAGAGGGGGATCAGAGCCAGTCTGTCCCAGTGAAACCTGTCCTCCAAGTCTTTAAGAACGGTTCCCGACCTAATGTCATTTAGTTGGCAAAAGGAGTCCTGTGTTTCATATACAGGCATGTATGTATTCTAAGTCTGAGCTAGATTTAAAAGTTCCATTTTACAGGAGCGTACATAAAGTCCACTAGGAGACTTACTAATGTTACTCTCTCTAGAGCTATTGTCTAAAGTCAAGCAAGGAATACCAGCGCATTTAGTAACTAGTTCCAGTGCAACATCTACAAGTACAAAACAGTCATAAAATGTCCCATTAAAAGAAATATCATAACCTTATAACGTTTCCACATTTTAGCTTAGATTTATCAACATTTTGACCAGCATTTTAACAAAACCATATGAGACAAAGCATAAACAATTTTAAGCCATTTTGACAGAACTGTGTAAGACAAACTGTATAAGGCAAAGCATGCACAATTATGAGCAATGAGCCAAGACACATCAACATTTGAAGCATAACATTTTGTTACCTAAGCAAGTCCCAATCCAGAATTTATGAAAGAAAAGCAAACTCATACCTTTATCCAGTGATCTCGGCGGGAACCTCCAAATGACACAGGGTAAAAAATTGATGTCAGGGTAGATGACCTCCAAATGATATAGGGGAAAAATGATCTCTCAACCTGACCTGGGACAAATTCATGTTCTCTAAAACCGAAGAATGAATTTTAGGAACAAACAGAAGTTATGAGCAGAATATATTTACTGGGGGAAAGAAAGCTCCTGTCCAAGAGAAGGACAGGAGGAGGGCCTGAGCGAGTGGTCCCCAGGAAAGCTGTCTCTTCTAGGGACTTTTATAAAGGAAAACCATGAGGTTAGGTGAATCTAAGGTGGCAGAGAAGACTTAGAACTCGCTTAGGTGGGCATGAGGTGGGAAAGAACTATGGTCAACCAATGAGATTACAAGCACCATTGCTCAGGCAAAATTGATTAAATCCAGGACCAAATGGGGAAGCAAGTCATGTAGCAAGTGGGCATGAATATGGGACAGGGGTTCTTCCTGTTGGGGGTTGGGCTAGTGACTCATTTGGGCTCTTTCAAGGTGATTGATACCAATTTAGCATATCAATCCCTGATGCCCTTGCCTAGGGAAGTATGTAGCTGTGTGTTTCCTCTTTTGTCTTGTCTGGCCCATAGGGGAGTGTCAGTCTCTTCCAATTTGCAATTTGCCCTTGTCTCCTTGAGGGCCTGGCCCTGTCTGACTGCCTATAATATTTCTAATTCAGCTGCTTACAGCACTTCTTCCTTCTTTCCTTTCGACTGGGTCTTGCTCTTGTAGTCCAGGGTGACCTTGAACTCACTATGTAGTCCAGGATGGTTTCAACCTCGGGGCAATGCTCTTGCCTCAGCCCTCTGAGTGCTCGGATTACAGGCATACGTCATCATGGCTTGCTCACGTCCTCGTCCTTAAAGAGATCTGGTGCACGGATCACCCCTGACCCTGCAGGGCTCCAGACCTCCCTGTCTCTTCTTGTCCAGTCCAGGCTTGTCAGGGAATGGGCGTGGCTTCGGAGGGAACTGACTGCAGTTCCGGAGCACACTTCTGCGTGGGTCCTGTAGGACTCAGAGGATCCACTAAGCTGCAGGAAGAAGCGGGTGTCAGCACCGGGCAGAAGGGAGCTCAGCCTAGATACAAATGTCCAGGGTGATGCGTGTTCCCACCATCGCTGTCACTTAGCGCACAGAGGGCGGGGCCTGCAGAACTCTGCAATCAGGGAAGAATAAGGCGGCGCCCAGGGAACAGTCAGATATTCTGGCGTAGTGCCGTGGGCACTAACCAATCAGACTAAGAAAAGGGGGCGGGACCCAGGCGACTGCCAATTAGAAAGGGTTGATGTCCGCTGTGTAGTCCAATAAGAGTCCGGGGGTGTCAAGTCCCGGCTCACTTTACCTGCAGTGTCCGCGGGGTAGCTGGAGGGCGACGTAGTCCGGACCCGGCTCAACATGGTGAGTGCGGGGCGCTTGGGCAATCCGGGCGGGCAGAGGCTTGGGGTTCCGCGCGCGGTCTCGGCAGCCTGTCCTCCCAGATTCCGGGCGTGGGAAGCCGGAGACCGCGGCCCCGCTACGCCCGGGCCGACATCGCCACGCCTGAGTGTCCACTGCTCGGTTCTCCCCGCCCCCAGAGGAACCCGGCTCCACGGCCGCCTGTGAGGATACCGCGCCCCACGCTGCTCCAGAGAGCGGGTGGGCGGTGGACAGAGAGGCCCCTCTAGCGAGAGGACCGCCTGGGGCGCCCGGTCCCCTCCCTTCCTCCAGGGCACCCTGGAGGCTTCAGGCTGGACCTGCTCCCCCGGCTGCAGAATGCCCGAGGACAGGGATGGTTCTTGGACCTGGGTTGTCACACGCAGAAGGGAGGACGAATTCACTGCAGAGATCGAAGAAGCCCAGGCTGGGAGGGAGGACGAGGATGAGGGCCTGAAAAGCAAAATGCACATCAGACTTCAGGGGCACAAGACTGTCCTGCCCGGCATGGCTTGACAGGCGCCTCTGATCCCAGCAGTTGGGAGGCTGAGGTAGGAGGATGGCTGCGAGTTCGAGGTCAGTGAAACCCTGTCACAAAAAGAATAAAGATAAGAGTAAAAATAAAAAGACATCCTCAGGGAAGATGTCGATGACCAGGTGACCCAGGGGGGAGAGGGCAGACCCCTCCGTGAATTCAGTACAGCCCCCCTTTGATTTATTTCTGTGATGAGGTTTATCCTTTTACTGGAGCTTCAATTTTCTGTAACTATAACAAATAATTTTTTTAAATGTATTTAGTACAGGGTCTCACTACACAGATCCGACTCGTAGTGATCCTCCTGTTTTCAGTCTCCCAGACTCTAGGATTGATTACAGGCAGGCGTCACAACCCCCAGTCTCATTCGCGGTCTCAGCGCGCCCCTGGGGCAGGCGGGGCCGGCATGGCGGACCAGGGATCGAACCGAGAGCCCCTGCGTCTGCTAAACTGGCACTTTAATCCACTGAGCTACCTGGCCGGTTCAATAACAATAGAACTTGATGATGAAGTATGTCGAAAGGTAGATTTAGGGAGGGGTACGGTCTCAATTTGCATTCTTTTCATTAAGTTCTTATTCCATCTCTCCCTCCCTTTTCTTCAATGGGAAAAGATTTTTTTCCCTTTTTAAATGTATCTTGGTTGAATACTATAAAATTGGTGCCAGCAACTTTGAAGTTGATTACAAGTAAGTCATATGGGTTGATTTTAGGTTTGTTTGTTGTTGTTGGTTTTTTTTTTGTTTGTTTGTTTTTTGTGTTTTTTTTTTGCGGAACCGGGGATTGAACTCAGACCCTTGCACTTGCCAAGGAAGCACTTATTCTACTGAGCCATCTCCCCGACCCCCTTGATTTTAGGTTTTTGTTGTAAAATGAAACTTCAGTGCAGAAAAATACATAGGCTATGTATACTGAACAGAAATGTTAAAAAGTGATTTTCCATGAAATAGAGGTCATATCTGATGCAGAATAAGCTGAATGCATTGGTAGACACCTATTCTAAAGAACCCCAGTGGGGACCCCTCACCCTCAGTTGTAATCATGATATTGAATTTTATGGATTCTATAAATATTATGTAATTTAGATAACATATCTGTTATGGAGTCCAAGAGATCAGAGAGACCAACAGAGAAAAAGAGGAGGATTTTATTAGGTGTACACCTGGCTCAGCAGGACTCCTGCCCAAGATGGCTAAGCGTTGGACAAAAGACGGGCTCCAGGTTTTCTACATTTGGTCATGGGGTCTGGTCTTCCACACAAGACTTGTGGGTGCACAGAAGGAGATGAAAGGCAGTTTGTCAGGCTGTGACAGTTTTGTATCTTGGTGTCCTTGCTTGGGAATAACAGCCCATAACATGTTATGGGGGACAGAAGGTTATAAAATTTCACTTTCAGGGAAAAAAAGTTACTGCCTGTGTTTCAGTTACTCTTCTTATGTTGCTGGGACAAATACCCAACACCCAAAATGAAGGAAAACTTTTCTCTCTAGAGTTTAGAAGCTTTTTTTTTTTTTTTAGATAAGGCATCACTATGCAGTTTGGGCTGGTCTTGTGCTCTCTTTCATAAGCCCCCAGGCTGGTTTCGAACTTGTAGCAGTCTTTCTGTCTCAACCTCCCAAGTGCTGGGATTACAGAAATATGCCATCACATCTGGTTCCAGGCCAGCTCAGCATGCAGGAGTCGGGATCAAACTCAGGACCTTGTGCTTGCCAGACAGGTGCTTATGCCTCTGAGCTACCTCTCCAGCCCCTAGAAGCCTATTTTTACATTTGCTCATGATTTCTTTTTCTGTAGTCTGTCCATATCCTTTACTTCTTTTTGTTTGTTTTCTACTAGAATGTTTGGCCATTTAAAAAATTAATTTGCTGCTACTCTATATTGTAGACATCATCAATTAATTAATGAATTAATGAATTCGTTTTGGTGCCATTTTAAATGCTAATATCTTGTGTGACTTCTCAAGGGAGGGGATATTGGCTGGCCCAAACTGGAGTTGCCACAGGCTTTAGTTCCACTATTGCCAGCACTTGATTTCTAGCCAGCCCAGGTGGGTTATCTGTGGCCTGCACCCCAGCAATCTTACCTGTCAGCCCCAATAGCTCATCTATTCCTGGCTTTTCTGAGTTATCTGAATACAATCTCCACTCTTCCGCTTGTGAGACAGCAAGAGCCAGCACCATGGTCCCTGGTCGGGCCAGGCTGAAAAGTCACATTATCTTGTGGCCCATAGGCAAGCTGGGACTGTGGTTTTGGGATTCTGTTTTGTTTTGTTTTTGACTGTAGTTTGTGGAGCAAGTCCCTTCTCAGCAAACTCATGTTGGACCTCTCCTCAACCACAATACACAGTTTTGGCCAGCAAAAGGGCCTCTTTTCAGGGACCCCGATGGCTTCTACTATGGTCACCTTTTTCTTTTTTCTTTTTTTTTCCCCATGATTTTATTGAGAAATAAATAGCAATGAGACAGTTTCAAATCTGATTAGTAGGACAGTTTCAATAATTAACACATTGCATATTGTTGTCTTAGTGCTTATTCACTGTACAAGATGCAGACATGGTATCCTGTCCACAAACACTATTAGAACAAATCTTTCTATTCATAAAATTAAGAGAATGTAGCTGTATTTCTATCCTATTTTGAATATACAGATACAAAATGGCCATTCATTTGTATCCCTTTTTTGTTTAGTTTTGTCATTTAAATATTATAGGTGTGTGAAATCAGCAAAATATTCCAAAATAGTTCAGTAATCCATAATACTAGTAGGTTTTCCGTAAGACTGGCAATGTCAGAAGTTGTTGACTTGAGCCTTTTACTGCTCAGCACACATTAATATGGTTTTACTTTTTATACTTTGTTTTTATACTTTTCTGCTGGATGGTTAAGACCAAGATAAAGCAAGACTTATATAACAAGAAATGTAGCTTTTCTATCTGATAAGGTCAGTCAAATCCCCTCCAGACTTATCCTGGAACACTGTACTGCAGTTTGTAGATCCTTTGTCAGTGTCAGCCATGTGGATGAGTCACGGCCATTGCTTGGCCAATGTGCCCTCTGTGAAAGCCTGAGAGAATGTTTTCTCTCCATGTGACTCTCCTTAGGCACACTTTACGTCATCGATCACTTTCCTCTGTAGCCCCATAATCTCCTTGATCAGAAAATTTGGGACACAACTGAGTTACATGATGTTATAGTACAGGTTCTCCTATGTCCTGAGTCTTCACTGACCTTGAAAGGCTAGGGCCAAAATGTTGGCTGTCCTTGTAGCCCTTCTTTTCTATAATTTTTGGTCTGCAAACTTAGGTTGTTAATCCTCCAGAAGAGAAGCTTATTGTTACTACCCTACAACCTAGGCTGTTGAGCTTAACCTCACTATCTATCTGAGTATCAAACATCTTAGGCCCAACATGGAACAGGTATTTTTCATCAAGTATTGATATGTTGAACTTTAAGTCCCTACAGAATATGAAGAAAAAAATTAAATATTTTAAAAGATAGGAATAAACAATTACATATTTTTACACAGAAGTTTAGAAATCTAACCATGTACAGCATTGTAGCAGGACAGTCCCATAACACCCCCCTTTTCCTGTCTCCTGCCTTCATTCACCACCCCCTTCCTTTTTAAACAAACATCTACCTGAGAGATGGCACGGCAGCAGCCGGCGTGTCATGACTAGCAGCACGTATTCAGGAGACCAGAATGACCGGCACTCCAAGCACGAACCTACTATTACACAGTGCCATCTTCAGTGCAGTTGCTTAGTTCACAGGTAGCAGCATATAGAGAATTCTTCCAATTAACTGCTAGATTCGAGAACCTTCTGACGATTCTCAGGATCCTTGCCTCACCCATCTTGTACATGTGAATGCATGGCTTTGCCCCTGTCATGTTTCCTAGCTTTTTTCCTTGCTCTCTCTCTCCATTGTCTAAGCCTCAAGTTCTCACTTTCCTTTTAATTGTGTTATACCTTTCTATTTGTATTTCTTCTTTTGAGTTCTTATAGTAGGGAGACTATACAATATTTACACATGTGGCTCTGGTTCATTTCACTTATGAGTATATCTTCAAGTGGCATCTACTTAAATATGAAGGCTTTGAATTTATCATTCTTTATTGCTGAGTAATACTCCACTGTATAAAAATACCACATCTTTTCATCCATTCCTCAGGTGACGGGCATCTTTTTTGTTTCCAAGATTTGGCTACCACAAATTGTGCTGCTATAAACATAGGTACACATATATCACTATGATATGATGTTTTCAGATCTTCCAGGAAAATTCCCAGTAGGGGAATAGCTAGCTTGAATGGGATTACCAGTCCTAGTTTTTAAGGAGTCTCCACACTGATTTCCATAATGGTTGCACCAGTCTGCATTCCCACCAGCAGTGGAGAAGGGTTCCTTTTTCCCCACAGCCTTTTTCTCAGAGAGCAAGCAGCCTGATGGG